GCGGTCAGAGCGTCCAAAACGGCCTCGAGGAAGCCAAAATCATTGATTTTACTATGGTTTTGGCCCCATTTTGGCCTTCTGAGGGGGCAGGGCTAATTAAAGCTCCCCTCTTCTTTGATCGATTTCCTCCACGATGGCCGCAAGAGGCCCCCAGGATGTCCCAAGAGGCCGCAGGATGGCCCCACGATGGCCCCAAGAGGCCCCCCAAGAGGCCCCCAGGAGGCCCCCAAGAGACCCCCAAGAGGCCCCAAGAGACCCCCCAGAGGCACCCAAGGTGCTCCCAGAGGCCTCGGCGATAATGTCAAACCATTGTTTGCATTAAGGTTTTAGCCACGTGTTGGCCTCTGGGGGGGGCACTGATTAAGATGACTCCAAGAGCGCCTCGGAGAGCCCAAAATAACCTCCAAGATGGCTCAAGAAATCCCAAGATGTCTCATACTGGCTTCCTCTGTGTGCTGTCCACTTCCCTGATCGAGGCAATCCCACCAGCCCTCTGGGCGTCGGTGGTTTAAGGCGTTTCCTCTTCCACCCCTCCCTCTTTCCCTTCGGGGAGGGGTTTACCCATCCCCCTACCCCCTCCCCGTGGACCTGGACGGGGGGGGCCGCGAGCGGTCAGAGCGTCCAAAACGGCCTCGGCGAGGAAGCCAAAATATTGATTTTACTGAGATTGTGGCCCCATTTTGGCCTCCTGAGGGGGCACAGATGGCCCCGAGAAGCGCCCAGGAGGCCCCCAAAGGCCCCAAGATGGCCCCAAGAGGCCCCAAGAGGCCCCCAGGAGGCCCCAAACCGGATCCCGAACGGCCCACAGAGGCCCCCCCGAGGCACCCAAGACGCCGAAAAGCCCCTCAGGACGACCCTCTACTCGCCTGGGCGTCGTTTCTGGACGGGCTGGTGGGGATACGCGAAGCGTCTAGAATTCCATACATGATGTGCCAGCTACGCCGTGCGAGCACGGTTGCTCAACGAGTCCGCGCCACAGGACGCAATCTCGAACACTTCTCCTGCATCCTGGAACAAATAGAGACCAGCCCTCTGGATTACCCCAAAACCGGAATCCCTGCCGTGCAATCTTGTTTACTGCTTCATGACCTCTAATTCGCCCGAGTTTTTCCTCCGCCGGAGCGTCTCTCTCAGCCTGTTACGCTTTCACCAAGCAGACTCGAGCCTCCTGCCCGATCTTTTGTAACCAGTCAGTCCAGGAGTGACGTCTGGCGCGGGAGAATGTCAGAGTAGTTCCTGAATCCTGCGCGCATTCAACTGTACCAGCGCAGTCGCAAGACGCCTCGAATGGGCCCTCCTCGCTCCTCTTTACGTGGCAACTCAGCATGGGGAACAAATTAATCCTCCCCATCACTGGCATCTTCGGAGGGGGCAAACCAGAGCGGCACAACTCCATACATGGCCGCATTGAACTAGCCCGCACGTTCGACCACCACCACGACCAGGAGGAAAAAGGAAGAGGAGGAGGCGGACAAGTTTGTGTGCGCGCTCCTCACGGGATCCCTTTGGTTCCCTTTGGCCACAGGGCTCTGCCTGGCCTCCGGCCCCGTCTCTCGCCGCCTCTCCCTCGCGGCGCCGCAGTCGCGTTTCGATTCCGCCACGTTGCACCGTCGCAGGGCCACACGCCCAGCCCACCGCAGGTGCCCCACGCCGCCACCACCAGCACCCCCCCCCTTCACCGCACCCCCGGCCCGCCGCCCTGGCGGCCCGCCGCTCCTGCAGCTCCCTTTTTGCTGGGCACCGCCCTGCACTGCAGCCGCCAACTCCTCCCCTGGGGTGCGCCAACGACGCCGCCCCGCGCTCGCTGCCAGGGGCTGCCCTACGGCTCGGCCGCCCCGCGCGTCCCCCCGCGGCCTCGCCGCGTGAGTGCGCCCTCCTTTCCCTCCTCCTGTCTCTGCGGCCGCCCTCATCTTCCCCTCTCCTCTTGCACGCGGGTCAATTCGCAACTCCGTAGCCTGGGTTGCCTCGACGCGCGTGCGGACTGCCACTGCCGCGCTGCGACGTAAAGAAGGGCCCCCTGCGCTCCGCACGGGCAAGGGGTCGAATCGAAGCAGCCATACGCAAAACGCGCGTGGGCAAGACAATTGGCGAGCGTGCGAGCAACGCCAAACGCGCTAGCTGGCGGACAGGAGGCGCCAAACGCGCGACAAACGCTCGCCGGGTGGACGAGGGGAGGAGGGAGGACGAGGGGAGGAGGGAGGACGAGGGGAGGAGGGAGATGACGATGATGTGTATTTCCGCCAGGGCGTACAGGAAATTGAGCTGTCATTCAAAATGTTTATCTTCTGCGTTACTGGCGCTCTTTACAAAATTGAACACGAACGATCTCCAACGCATCGGGTCTGCAACTGCAGCCACGAAAGACTCTACGGCCTCGAAGCGGGGCCTCACAAGTTTATGCACTTCGGCTGCCCACTCCTGTCTGGGCCGCCCCCGCTTGCGCTCGCAGACCCACGTCGCAGGGGTGGAGATGGATAGAATAACCTCCTGTAAAGCACCATGCATCATTATACCGCTTTTGCTGCGTCATTGCCCAAGCCTTGCACCTGCCAGCATACTACTCTTTCCAGCATTAGTAGAACTGATGTCGCGCAGGCTCGAATCGACTTCGTTTTCTACAGCTCCACGGTTTGCCCATGTGCGGGTATATTCGCGGAGAGGCCCTTCCAGAGAGCCAGGCAGCGGAGTGCCAGTAGGTGCGTGGACTGCGGCGAAATGCTTCTAACAGAGGGCCTGGATGTTCACTGCGAGCCCGTCGTGAAAGACAGCCCTGAGACAACCTTCCAAAGCAGGGGCCGTGGCATTCATAGTCCCAGGGACTGAGCGGGCGGGCCCAATCCAGAGCTTGCCAAGACGAGGGCTGCGCTGGTCCCAAGCATGGCTCTGATATGTGTAAATATCCATATAGATATATACATATATATGTATATATATGAATAAACACACACACACACACACACACACACACATCGGGGGGGGCCTGGCTAAAACAGTTTTGTGTCCAAGCCCCCTGGGCCAATGATGGACCCCTCGCGATCCGCTCGCTCCCTGCGCAGCCAGAGGCCCTCCCGCCTCAGCACAGGCTGGGCTACTGGCCAACTCGATCACGCTTCCGACGCCCAAGCCCGGCCCGCCAGCCACAGGTCGGCCTCCAAGGGGCCGCGAAAATAGGCCGCGCCGAGCCTGCAGCCCCACTCAGAATCCAAGTAATGTTGTTATGGCCTCCAGCACAGGCACCAGGTTCTATCCCAGCGCCATGTCAGAAGAAGAAACTGACAGGAATGGCCGCGAAGCATCAGATTAAGCCGCCTGTCTTCAACGTGGGTGTCTGGGCTACTCCACCAGCCCTATGCACAAAATGGGTACGAAAAAAATGGTACAATGCCCAACAGCAGATGTTGCCCAAAACCGACAGCGGCCACTGTTGAGCAGGCGCCCATCTGTCTCAAATGGACAGCGTCCGCGGCAACACAGACAGCGAGTCCTGTTCAAAATGAGCATGGAATGCTGTCGGTCTGTGTACCTATTCTTTCCATACCCGTTTCGATCGTCCGGATCCTGGAGCTGCATCATCAGCCCGCCCCCCATGTTGCGGGTGCTGAAGCAGTCAGAATGGCCCTAGCTTTCGGCAGTAGCCGCCCGCATGCATCGCGAGCGCGACGAGCTCGTTCGCAACTCGGCGGCCGACCGTCTCCCTGTCATTGTACTGTGCAGCCTACTTGGAGGCATCCCAGGACCCTGCAAGATCGAGTTCCTGTTACATCAGCACAACCCAACCCAGCTTGTCTCCTCTGCCTCTGGGTCTACGTAAAGTGCAGGGAGGCTGGCGATGCGATCCTTCCCCACCTTGTCCCCCCCCTACCTTAACCATGCGTGCAACTCCAGGCGAAGTTCCACCTGCCTGAGGCACCCAGTGGGACGAAGGAGATGGGAAGGAACAGACCAGTCGCTGGGAGGAGATGGAGGAGGAGAAGGAGGAGGAGGAGGATGAGGAGGAGGAGGAGGAGGACGGAACAGACCGTCGCGTCCGCGACCTGCGCCGCACACCCCTCGCCGTGGCCGTGCAAATCCCAGCTCGCGATGACGCCTTGGCCAGGCTCTCCCGAGGTCCCGAGGGCGGGCCCAGCCAGTCGTCGAGCGTCGGCGGCCTTCGCTCTCGCTCCTGGTCCTCTGGTCCCAGAGCCCAAAGAGTGCTGCGGACTTCCGCTCCCTTGGTTCCAGGGTGGAGGAGGACGAGGGAGAGGAGGAGAACGAGGAGGGGGAGGACGAGGAGGGGAAGGAGAACCAGGAGGGAGAGGGAGAAGGAGCGGGGGGAGGAGACAAGGGAGAACAAAAGGCAAGGCTCATGTCCGATCAACGAAGACAAAAGGAGGAGACCAGAGAGGAGGAAGGAGAAGGAAGGGAGGGTGGAGGAAGAAGGAGGAGCAAGAAGGAGGGAGAAGGAGGGACACAGGCGAAAGACGAGGGAGGAGACGGAGGAGGGAGGAGGAAGGTGGAAAAAGTAAGGGAGGCAGCAGCAGAAGACAGCGGAAGAGGAAGGAGGCCGACGAGCAGGAGCGGGAGCCAGAGCAGCACGCCATCCAAAGAGCTCCAGCAGCGCTTCCACGCGCTCCTGAGGACGTCGCCTCGCGCTGCCGTGTCCTCAATGTGTCGTGCATCATCACCGCATCTGGTTCGGCGTCCTACTCCGCCGATCTTGCTTCACCGTGGGTTGTGCTGAGTACTGCCCCTCTTTCCTGTCAGAGCCAGCCCCTTCTGCGCAACACCATGGCGCTCAACATCCTGGACCCTCCGACCTGAGGCCCGACGTCGGGAAAAAAATGCAGCATCGTGAAAAAACACGACCCGAGCCCGAGACCCCATCTTTGAGAGACGTGTTTCGAGCCGGTCGATCGGTGATGTTCCCGGGGCCCGAAACCAGGCGAACACGCCCGGCGAATCGAAAATGCAGCGCCCAGATGTCAGGGCACGGCCCAAATGCGTGTGCAAATTGGACTGGCCTGCAAGGTCGTACCGCTGGTGCCCATCTCCTCCAGGTTCTTCCGGTTGCGGTTCATGCCCGACAGGTCCTCCAACGGGAACGCTATGTAAAGTCGCGCGTGGCACGCCTGCCTCTGGCTCTGCGAGGCTCGATCACCGCCCAAACCGTAGGCATTTTGATGGGCAGCCGCGCTACGCCCTGAAATGACTGGGACAGATGCCCAGACCCTCGGGTCATGAAAGTATCCTGGCCAAGGGCCCAACCATATGCAGCTGCGAGTATCGCCGTTGTGGGCATCGCCTTCGGTGGATTTCTGGATGGGGCCAGGAAGCGTGTACAGGGTGTGCCGAAATGGGGCGGGGACGCATGCGGGCGCAGCCATTGGGGCCTTCGGTGGCGATCCATTTGGGACCAGGAAACGTGTGAGGGATGTGCCGAAATTGAACGGGGCCGCCACACTAGGGCCTTCGGTGGAGCTCGTTATGGGGCCACGAAGCGCTGTTCTGGGTGGGAGGGGCGCATGCTAACACCGCCAATGAGGCCTTCAGTGGAGCTCCTGATGGGGCCACGAAACACTGTACTTGGCGGGGGAGACACATGCGAGCACCGCAACTGGGGCCTTCGGTGGAGGCCCCTATGGTACAACAAAACGCTGCACTGGGTGGGGGACAGGCATGCAGACACCTTGCACTGAGTGGGGGGGACGCATGCGGACACCGCCTCTGGGGCCTTCGGTGGAGCTCCCCATGGGGCAACGAAGCGCTGTGTACTAGATGGGGGGCGACGCATGCGGACACCGCCACAGGGGCCTTCGGTGGAGCTCCCTATGGGGCCACGGAGCGCTGTACTGGGTGGGGGAAACGCATGCGGACACCGCCACAGGGGCCTTCGGTGAAGCTCCCTCTGGAGCCACGAAATGCTGCACTGGACGGGGGAAGGGCATGCGAACACCGCAAGGGCCTTCGGTGGAGCTCCCCGTGGGGCCACGAAGCGCTGCACCCGGTAGGGGTAACGCATGCGGACACCGCCACTGGGACCTTCAGTGGAGCTCCCCGTGGGGCCACGAAACATGGTTCTGTAGGGGAAACGCATGCGGACACCGCCACAGGGGCCTTCGGTGTCACTTCCACCCAACTCCCTATGGGACCACGAACCGTGTGAGGGGTGTGCCGAAATGGACATGCGGCGGGCGGGGTGGGCGCATGTTGGCTTTGCATCTGGGGCTTTCGGTGGAGCTCCCTATGGGGCCACGAACCGTGTGAGGGTGTGCCGAAATGGACATGCGGTGGGCGCATGTGGACGTTGCCTCGGGGGCCTTCGGTGGAGCTCCCTATGGGGCCACGAACCGTGTGACGGGTGTGCCGAAATGGACATGCGGCGGGCGGGGTGGGCGCATGTGGACTTTGACTCTGGGGCTGTCGGTGGAGCTCACTATGGGACCACGACCAGTGTGAGGGGTGTGCCGAAATGGACATGCGGCGGGCGGGGTGGGCGCATTCGGACTCTGCCACTGGGGCCATCGGTCGAGCTCCCTATGGGGCCACGAACCCTGTGTGAGATGTGCCGAAATGTGTGGCTGTGACGCATGCGAACTGCGCCAGTGGCGCCTTCGGTGGAGCTCCTTCTGGGGCCACGATCCTCGTGAGGGGTGTGTCACATGTGTGGGAATGCGGAGGGCAGCGGCAAGGATGGGAGGAGGGAAGAGGCGGAAGGAAGGAGGCGGGAGGAGAACGCGGGGCGCTGTCTCTTCAAAACGATGACCCAACACCGCAGGATGGATGGGGAAAAACATGACGGTAAGACGTTCGCTATTCTCGGCCTCTGGAAGCCCTCGCTGGGCACCAGGACTGCAAAAAAACGACTCGGGATGAAAACTTCTCCCAGGGACGGGGTCCAGACATCTGAGGGGCACGTTTGTGTGCATATATATATATATATAGAATATATATATAATATATATATATATATATATAGATGTGAAAGAGCGTGTTCTACCGCTGCTGGCGGAAAAACGGGGGAGGTCACTGGGGGTTCCCAATTCGTCCCCCCCCCCTCCAAAACCGACGAGGGTCACTACCGGTTCGAACCCCCCCCCCGTCCATCATGAAAAGGGAGGGGGGTCACTAACGGTTCGAACCCTCCCCCCCCACCCCACCCTCGAAAACTGGGGGGGGTCACTACCGGTTCGAACCCACCCCGCCCCTCCTCGCCGCCGGCAAACGATTCCCGCTCCTCGGGACAGTTGGACAGTGGCGGGGATACTGGGACAGTGGTGGGGACGGTGGTGGTGGGGACAGTGGTGTGGGGACAGTGGGAAAGTGGTGCGGACAGTGGTGGGGACGGTAGTGGAGGGGACTGTGGTGAGGGGACAGCGGGACAGTGGTGCGTGGAGGGGACAGTGAGACAGTGGTGGGGACGGTAGTGGTGGGGACAGTGGTGAAGGCGGTGATGAGGACGGTGGTGGGACAGTAGTACAGTGGGGACAGTGGTGGGGACAGTGGGGACAGTGGGACAGCGGCGGGGACAGTGGGGACAATGGGACAGCACAGTGGTACAGCGGCGGGGACAGTGGGGACAGTGGGACAGTGGTGGGAACAGTGGGACAGTGGTGGGGACCGTGGGGAAAGTGGGGAGTGGGACCGTGGTGGGACAATGGTGGGGAGAGTGGGGACAGTGAGACACTGGTGGGGGCACTGGTGGTGACAGCAGGAACAATGGTGGGAACAGTGGGGACAGTGAGACACTGGTGGGGACTGTGGGACAGTGGTGGGGACGGTGGTGGTGGGGACAGTGGTGTGGGGACAGTGGGAATGTGGTGGGGACAGTGGGAATGTGGTGGGGACAGTGGTAGTGGGGACAGTGGTGAGGGCGGTGGCGAGGACGTCGGTGGGACAAGGGGACAGAGGTACAGTGGGGACAGTGGTGGGGACAGTGGTGGGGACAGTGGTGGGAACACTGGGACAGCTCAGTGAGACAGCGGCGAGGACAGTGGGACAGTGGGGACAAGGGGGACAGTGGGACAGTGGTGGGGACCGTGGGGAAAGTGGGGATAGTGGGACCGTGGTGGGAATCCTCCTCCTCCTCCGCCTGCTCCTCCTCCTCTGTTTCCTCCTCCTCCTCCTCCGCCTCCACATCATCCTCCTCCTCCTCTTCCTCCTCCTGCTCGTGCTCCTGCTCCTCCTCCTCCTCCTCACTCCTCCTCCTCCTCCTACTCTCTCCTCCTCCTCCTCCGCCTCCGCCCTCCTGCCTTCCGCCCCGCCTCCGCCTCGCCCCTCTGCGCCTCCGCCCTCTTCCGCCTCCGCCTCCCGCCGCCCTCCGCTCTCCGCCCTCCGCCTCCGCCTCCCATCCGCCCCTCCTTCTCCTCCCTTCCTCATCCTTCCTCCTCCTCCTCCCCTCCTCCTCCTCCTCCTCCTCCCCTCCTCCTCCTCCTCCTCCTACCTCCCTCCTCCGCCCCCTCCCCACTCCCCTCTCCCCTCCTCCTCCTCCTCCTCCTCCTCCTCCTCCTCCTCCTCCCCCGCCTCCTCCTCCTCCTCCTCTTCCTGCTCAGCCATTTTCCACCCAGGGTCCCGTGCGCGGGGGCCGGGGTGTTCCGATGGGCCCAACTTGAGAGTGGCCATGGCCCTGGGAGCAACGTCGAGTCAGCCCTGGCAGCCCACGACCGAGCGCGGGTCCAGCTGCCAGGGAGCCATCAAGAAGGTGGGTTGCCCCCTCCCCGTTCCGCCTCATCTCTCATCCTCCTCAGCCTCCCTCCCTCCTCCTCCTCCTCCTCCTCCTCCTCCTCCTCCACACGCCAGGCAGAAAAGCGCGGGCGAGCCACGATCAGCCGTGCTGGGAGCCGTCCGTGCCAGGCGAGCACGTGCGGGCCAACGTCATCAGCTACAGAGTTGAGACCAGTTCGTGCGGGAGACGCCACACAAAAAGCGGGCAGCGGCAGGAAGTCTCAATGCGAGAAGCCTCAAGCCTCAGTGCGAAGCTGGAGTCCGCCACACCAACCCTCCCTCGGCGAGCGGCGGCAGCAGGCGATGCCGCGGCAACAAGCGAGAGGGAAGACGAAGGTCGAGCCCAACGTCATCAGCTACGAGGCCCGACAGGCGAAGGTTGAGCCCGACGCGGAGCCCGACCCAAACACCGACGCCGAAGCGGAAGGCGAAGGTAGAGCCCGACGCGTTCAGCTACAATGCTGGGATCGAGGGCAATGTGCGAGATGTGGGAAGGCGAAGCTGGAGCCCGACGCCATCCGCCTGGAGCCACTGTGCGAGCAGCGTGCGAAAAGCGAGAGGCAACGCGGGACAACGAGCGACGCAGGAAGAAGGCGAAGGACGAGCCCGACGCCATCAGCTACCCTCGACGCGACGAGAGCCCGACGTGCGAAGGCTGTCGGAGGTCGAGCCCGATGCCATCAGCTGCATCCGACGAGAGTTGGAAAGCTGGAGGGGAAGATGGAGCCCAACGTCCTACTCATACTGCGAGAAGCGGGAGGCGAAGTTGGAGCCCGATGTCCTGGGCATGGCACTCGAAGGTCGAGCCCAATGCCATGAGCTAGCCGACGAGTTGTAAAATGCTGTAGGCGGAGTCGGAGCCCGACTTACTACCCCTACTCTGCGAGAAGTGCGAGAAGCGGGTGGCGAAGCTGGAGGCCGATTCTAGCCAGACGTGCCGGCCGACCCTACATACGATAGAGGAAGGCGGAGTTGGAGCCCAATGTCACTAGCTACTACGCTGGGGATCGAAGGAGCGACAATCAGGCTCGGTGGCGCCGTGGCCAAACCACAACCTCCCGCTGGACGGAGCATCAGCTACAGTGCTGGAATCAGCCCGGCGTGAGGTTCAGATGCGTGGCGCCCCCAAGACCGACTTGTGAGGGGCGGCCTCTCTTTCGTCGCAGCGGTGCGTGCCTCACAACTGCGGTGATCAGCCTGCCAGATCCTGCCAGATCCTCCTCCTCCTCCTCCTCCTCCTCCTCCTCCTCCTCCTCCTCCTCCCCCTCCTCCCGTCCCAAGGCGAGTGCTGGGCAAGAGCGCGAGGCAGAACTGGCGCCAGCGACAAACGGCGAGGCGGGAGGCCTCGGAAGCGCACAGGAGCACGCCGAGAGAGAGAGAGAGAGCGTGAGGTCTGGATCCTGTGAGGTCTATATGTGTCGGCCCACCTTATGATGAGCAATACATAAAAAAGTACCCCTAATCCTTTGGGACGGGGCCCAAATTAGGAAGGGGCAACACACATCAGGGATAGGGGGTCGTTTTGCAGATGTGCAGAACGAAACCACCCCACATGATCAGGGATCTCCCTCGAAAGCGTGGACCTAATTCAGGCCACGAATTCACTGTGGTATCAGGGTTAGGGGTTGTATTATGCTTAGCGGCATCGGTCCCTGGACCCCATCCCACACACCGTCCACACCAAATGCTCGAGCCGCGTCCAGCACTGGCCACGCGGAGGGTCCAGCAGACCGAATGCTATAGAACAAGAACGATGCAAAAGCATGAACATCCTCCTGCCTCCACCTCCTCCCCCTCCTCTCCCTGCTTCTCCCTCTCCTCCTGGCGGGCTGGGTCCTTGCAAGAGAAGCCCGCGATGATGATGTCCAGGTCGGTGGGCACCGCCACCCGCTGCCCGGACAGCTCGTCCTGAGCCGTCTCCTTCCGCGGGAGGCCGGCGAGGAGTCACCGTCCTCGTTCTGTGGCCCTGCTGCTCCACCACCTCCTCCTGCTTCTCCTCCCCCCTCCACAGTCGCACAGCACGAAAACTACAGCCAAAACTGATAGGAAGGGTGCACCAGAAGGACGCTGGAACCTTGGAAGGCAATGCCGAGACCTGTCGAGCGGGGCGCGGCCAACGGAAGTGGCCAAGGACGGATCGAAGGGACAGGATGCAAGAGAAACGTTGGAAGGTCGCTCATCCTCACTATGAGTGTTGAATATATGCTCCTTTCTCCCTTGACTCCGTGCGGAAGATATTCGACCCTCTCTACGTGCTTTCGTTTACACACAGGCTCTCCAAATGTGTATTATAAATTCCATGGTCGTTACAATCCAATTGTTTCCGGTGTTTTAAAATGGTGAGCCCGCTGCTGCCGGGGCCCCAGTTTCGGATCGGCGCTTTGCTCCCGTCATTCAGAGTGGCGCTCTCGCCCCAGCGTGGACCACTTGTCTGGATCCGAGTCCTTATTCATCGTTATCCCCGCCTTATTTCCCCTCCTCCACCTTCCTCTGGTCCTCCTGTTCTTCCCGCTCCTTCCACTCCAGTTCCTGTTGCTGCTATTCTTCGCCCTCCTCCTTCCACGTCCTCCTCCTTTTCGTCCTGCCTATCCTCCTGCTCAACCACCACCTCCTCCTCCTCCTCCTCCTCCTCCTCCTGCTCCTCCTCCTCATCATCATCATCAGCATCATCATCAGCAGCATCAGCATCAGCATCAGCATCAGCATCAGCATCAGCATCAGCATCAGCATCAGCATCAGCATCAGCATCAGCATCAGCATCATCAAGGCATCAGCAGAGCAGTCCTCTCATATCATCATCATCATCATCATCATCATCATCATCATCATCATCATCATCATCATCGTCATCATCATCATCATCATCATCATCATCATCATAATCCTCCTCCTCCTCCTCTTCTTCCTCCTCATCCTCCGCCTCCTTCTCCTCCTCCTATGCACGCAGCTCCCTCTGTCCGATTGTGCATAACGCGATGGGGTCTTGATGTTAGAGTTCCAGGTGGGCTGTGACACGTGTCCACGGATAGAGGGAACATCAGCGCATTGGGAAAGGACGCAAAGGAGGGATACGTAGGATGTCGTCCTCCCCTCTCCTCCCCACTCCTGCCTCCTCCTCTCGTAGCCTCCAGCGTCTCGCAAAGAACGCGCCGGAATGTTTCGCTTGTTTCTGGCGTACGGGAACTCGTGCTGGGGCCCGAGGGCAACAACAAAAACTGCCCAAGGTGACAAACGTGTTATGGGGAAAGGCCGAGTGCTTAGAGGGGCGCGACTCTCGAAAAACCAATCGTCAAGCTCTGGACCCTCCTTCCATTCCCTGCTTCCTGCTGCCTCCTCCTCCTCCTCCTCCACCGCCTCCTCCTCCTCCTCCTCCGCCTATCATCATCAATCATCATTCATCATCATCATCATCATCATCATCATCATCATCATCATCATCATCATCATCATCATCATCATCATCATCATCATCATCATCATCGTCATCGTCATCACCATCACCATCACCATCACCATCACCATCACCATCACCATCATCACCATCATAGGCATCATCATCAAAATTGCCTCATCCTCATCTCTTTTTCCACCTGTCTGTCTTCTCCCCTCTCCTCTATCCCTCGTGCTCCCCCCTCCCTCCTGCCACACCCTCCCGCATGGCCAACCAACGAACCACTGACACATCAACCAACGTTCTCCGGACCAACCGAAATACCACCAATGCCAACCCATCGACCGGCCGTCCAAATGCCAAGCCGCCCGTCGGCCGTCCGTATACTGGCCCCACAACATGTGAAACCCACCCCAACCAAAATAGAATGAGTTCGTTTCATCAGCTGTTCAATGATTTGAACCCGGATTTCATATCCGAACACCCTCGCTGTCCGAACCAAACTACACACACACACACATGTCATGATATGTATGCATGTATGCATGCATGTATGTATGTATGCATATATGTGTGTATGTGTGTACGTGTGAATGTGTGTATGTGTATATGTGTGTATGTGTATGTGTGTATGTATGTATGCATGTATGCATGTATGTGTCTGTGTGGGTCTGTATGTATGTATGTATGTATGTGTGTATGTATGTTCCCTACCTAGGCTCTGCCTAGAAGGGTTCTTACTCTCTATCTTAAAGGGGCCGGGCAGTGTTGCCCGCCCTGGGCGGTTCCCCCAGTCCCCGCCCCGCGGTTCCCCCAGTCCCCTGGGAGCTTTAGCTTTAGCTTTAGCTTTAGTTTTAGCTTTAGCTTTAGCTTTAGCTTTAGCTTAGCTTTATCTTAGCTCTACCTTAGCTTTAGTTTAGCGTTAGCTTAGCGTTAGCTTAGCTTTAGCTTAGCTTTAGCTTAGCTTTAGTTTAGATTTAGCTGAGCTTTAATTTCGTTTTCGCTTAGCTTTACCTTAGCTTTAGCTTAGCGTTAGCTTAGCTTTAGCTTAGCTTTAGCTTAGCGTTAGCTTAGCTTTAGCTTAGCGTTAGCTTAGCGTCTGCTTAGCGTTAGCTTAGCTGTAGCTTAGCTTTAGCTTAGCTTGAGCTCAGCTTGAGCTTAGTTTTAGCTTAGCTGTAGCTTAGCTTGAGCTTAGATTTAGCTTAGCTTTAGCTTAGCTTTACTGCTACTACTAATGCTGCTTCCCTAGGGGCTCCAACTCCTAGGTAGGGTCGCACTGGGATAATTTGTATGTGTGTATGTATGTATGTATGTATGTATGTATGTATGTATGTATGTATGTATGTATGTATGTTCGTATGTGTGCAAGGTTGTTTGCTTGTGTGTATGCATGTATGTACGTATGTACGTATGTGTATGTGTGTATGTATGTATGTATGTATGCATGCATGCATGCATGCATGTATGTGTGTGCATGTATTCATGAGTTTGCATGCATGCATGCATGCATGATTGTATAAATGGATGCATGTATGCATGTAGGCATGTATGTGTGTGTGCGTATGCATGTATGTGTGCAGTTTATGTGTATGGACGTGTGTATGTATGTATGTATGTATGTGTATGTATGTATATATGTATATGTGTAGGTGTGTGTATGTATGTATGTATGCATGCATGCATGCATTTATGTATGTATGTATGTATGTATGTTTGTCTGCGTATGTGCATGTATGTATGCTGTGTATGCATGCATAGATGTATGGATGTATGGTTGCATGGTTGCATGGTTGCATGTAT